AAAAAATATTAATTTAACTTTTACATAAATTACATTCAATTCTAAATTTGAAAGTAAAATCAAGTAGAATAGTTATTGAAAAATTTTATTTCGATCATAATGAATAAGATGAATTTACTAAAATATGAAATAAAATTAATATTTTTTTATGAATATCATTACATGAGTATTAATAATTTCATTTCTAGATTTAAAAAATATTAAATTTAATTGTAATTTGAAATTTAATAATACTCACAATTTAGATGATACTTCTTTTGATTTTAATTCTGATTCTACTTGTGGTTTTTATTATGATTAGTTTTATAATTCTATTTTTGAACTTTATTATGATTCGGATTATGTTTCTATTTTTTGTTGTTATTATGATTCTACTTGTTGTTTTGAGAATAAATATCTTGTCACCCATTTTTCACTTAATAATCTCCTTACACATAATTATTTTTAATTTCCTCAAATTTAAATTGAACTTCAAATTTTTCATATTGATTTTACTTAAATTAGGGTCTCTTATAATTTATCTAATATCTGTCAAAACTATCATTATTGCTTGAGTAACTATATTAATCTTAAGAGTCTTTTTGTTATTTCATGTTATTGTAAAGAGATTGTGTTTTAATTGTTTTATTTAACAATACTTGGATCTTTTGTAGATAGAGAATCATTATTATTTTTATCACTTAATTATTCCTTTATTTCAGATATCTTCTCATTAATATTATTAATTGTAGGTACTACTCCTGATTCATTTTTAGAATTCTTCTCTAAATTATTTTCATCTATTAAATGATCTTAGAGGTAGTATTGTATTATTTGAAGAAAATATAATTTTTCATTTTATTTTTATATACTATATTCAAAATATTACAGAGGCTATCAATATTCAGTGCCATAAAACTAGTTTCTTTATGTATTAATTTTAACAATTTTAAAGCTTCCTCTCTTTACCCTAAAACACTTAATGAAGCTAAAACTTTCTTAATCTTAACTAATTATGTATTAATTCTAAGACATTTGTTAAATTGTTTATAATTCTCTAATTCTAGTTTCTCTATATTCCAATTAATTCCCAAAAATTTTAAAAACATTTTGTAGTCCTTAACATAGAAATCCATAATCTATTAGTATAAATAAATATTAAACATCTTTGTTATTAATCATTTTATTTCTCTCTTCAATTGTTAATCTATAACTATCAGAATTTAACATGCTATTGAAAAAATTTGAGAATATCCATTAAATAAATGAATGGTCATATTCTAAGTCCTAATAAAATTGCTTAAGTTCATAGTCTTCATACTTCTCCCAATTTTTGATATGTTTATGAATATCTTGCCGAACATCACGAATTTATAAGAATGAAATTCAAAATTAGGCATATTAGATTTTTATTTCCCCTTGATAAACTCATTTGATTTATTTGTGGTTTGATTATTACCAAAAGTATTACCCATTTATTAAACATAAAATATTATTAAATATAATTTTTAATAGAATTAGTTTTCTACCATAAAATTGATCTAATGTTGGTAAAATATATTTTTGGTATAAAATTATAAAATCCTTTAAGATTAACAATAGAGCAAATCAAAAATCATAAAAGAATTATCATCAAATAAATATTATTTTTCCTTTTTAATTACTCTATTAGTTTCAAAAAATAATATAATTATGACTTGATGTTTAATGAATGAATTTTTAAATCCCTAAAATTTACAATTATTACAGCGATACATAATTTAACAACATATTTTTTGATTGTGTTGCTGCTGTTTTTATTAGATTATCGAATAAAACCAATATTTGATATCATATTGTAATTTGATAACAAATATATTTAAGAGAAAAGTATTCTAAAAAAATTAAATAAAATTCAAAACTTATCAAAAATATGTATTTGGCTAGACTTAAAGAAAGAA